GTTGAAAATGGGGCTTCAATAGTAATAATAACATTATTACTATTACAGTAGCTAGTATCCACCTTCTTCTGTTCACTGTGGTTCTCTTTAGCTGGCCCCGCGACTGCCCACAGTCTCTTATCTCCTCATCCTACTATGTGTTTCGTGTCACCTCACTCGTCGATTCTTATTCGAGTCCTACTCAAGAGTCTGGTGCGCGGTGACAGCCAATGGTCTCCCCAGCGTGATTCCGATCCACCTCCATTTTCTTCGGAATATTTGTTGAGAAACAGACTCCTGGTTGATTCTTTACAAGCCTCTCTTTACTAATTCCATTCTGACTATATGATCTTCGATACGGAACGAAGGCAGTTACCGCTAAAAGTTTGCTGTAGTGTGTTCAAAATATTTTCTTAACGGTCTGGCCAAGTCTCTAACACATATAAATAAACTGGCTTAACACGTACTCAAAATCCAAGTCTTATTCTTTCTGCTGAATGCAGAGGATTCCCAGTCTGATTTCAGGATGTGGAGATGTACCTCGCCCTTCCAATTCTGGCTCCGACGTTCTCATCCGTTCCGCATGTAACTGAAGCAGTGCCACCCGGACATGTGAGGGAGAGTGACTAGTGATTTTGTTGGTTGGTTTGTAAAACAAACGACCATCATCACCTCTGTCTTCTCTGTGTTCACCTGGAGTCCCACCTTTTCTGCTTATGTTGCCAACTTGTTGGTTTCGCCTGTAGGTCTTCGAGCTTGTGTTGTATAATACATAAATTATATGCGAGGTTCATATCTTTTAGAGCCCTCTCGCCGGTTCAGCTTATTTCTGCCTTCTTTTTCCTGACGCACAGTCTTCCTCATAATCCAGTCCACCACAAGCAGGAATATTGTCGGTAACAGCACACATCCTTGTACTGCTCTTGTCATCACTTCAGATGCCTAGCTGGGTTTTCCGTTACGGATCGCCTGACATGTGGCATTGTCATATAGCCCGCCGTTGGATGAGGTTGATAAAGATTTGGGCATTGTACATCGTAGTGCTGGAGTGGTTTCCAAATGACTTCTCGGTCAACACTGTCGAAGCCCTCTTCGAAGTCGACGAAACTGGGGTAGAACTTTGACTGCCATTTTGTGCTTTGTTCGATGAAGGTACGCACAGCTGAAATTTGATGGGTAAATAGTTTCCCATTTCCGAATCCAGCTAGTTCCAGTTGGTAGAGTTCTGCACCCTGTTCATCTTTTATTCCCTTCATGGCAATACGACCAATATTTTATTTGATGTGGACAAGAGCATAATTCCGTGCCAGTCCTTTAGGAGGCATAAGTTACCCTTCTGTCATATTTCGGCAAGATAGCTCTTCTCATAATCAGCAAATACCTTCCCTTCCAAATCTTTTGGATGGGTGGCGTCAGCATATCTGCTGCAGCCTGTGGATCAGTTTTCGGCGCTTCGAGGGGAATCCTGTCTGGCCCTGTTGCCTGCCCGAACGTCGTTAGCTTGATCGCATTTAGGATTTCTGTTTTCATTCGAGGATTTTTATCAACTGACATTTCTCTGAGGGCTATTATTGTTATTTCTAGACGAGATGTAGGTGATGATTGTCAATTCAAGAGTATTTTGAAGTGATCGGCCCATTGTTATATGTGTCCTCGCTATTTTGTAATTAGGTTCCTCTGACCATATATTATTGGTTTCATGTGATTTGATTCCTTCCCGGGTAAAGACCTGGTTATTTGGCATAATGTTCTAAGGTTCTATTAGTCTCTGGCCTGTCCATTCTGTATCAGTTGCTTGTCAGTGCATTGTAAAATTGTCTTTTGTATTTCTAAACACCCTTCTCTCTCTATTCATTCCAGTGTACATTGAAATCGGCTTCTCCTTCTGTTGTTCATCTTTGCATTGGTTCCTCTTCTATCCCACCATCCTGCTCTATTTTATTAGCTTCCAGGCGTCCGTTAAGAGTCATATCTTGTCTCTTCTTTCTTCCAAGAACAGTCATACACCTTTCCCTGGACATCACTTTCAGAAAGGCCCAATCTTATTCCACACGGGTTTCCCCAGTGATGCCACGTAGTTTCTTCGACTTTGCTCCGATGGTTGCGGTGAAAGTATCTTTCGTAGTTTCGCCTTTCAGTTTCCGAGTGTTGAACTTGTACTGTGAACCATTTCTTCTTCTACGAAATCTTTCATCTTGATCTTGATAATTCATCACACTAGATGATGTTCTGAGTCCACATCTACTTCCTTTCTCGACTTCGTGCCTAGCATATTGTGCCTCAAATTTCTTGAGCAACATTAGGACGATGTCTGTCTGGCTTTTGGTGTTTGTGTCAAGCGAAATCCATGTAGCCTTGTGTGTATCCTTGTGCTTGCGTGCGCTACCTCCAATCACCAAATTACTGAACGCTTGGAAGTCCACGGATAGTTCTCCGTCCTCATTCCATTCACCGAGAACCTATTGACCCATGATGAATTATCTCGTTGTGTTAGCTTCTTCCAGTTTGGCATTCATGTCACCCATAGGGATTTTTATGTCACCATCTGGAATATTGTCCATTACTGTTTACATTTGTCTATAGATAATAATGACCATTTATTTCTTGAACAGAAATAAGTCATTTTTACGGGTGTGAATACATGTGCACTAATAAGAACTGATAGAATATATGATATGGTTTGTAAATATAAATTTAGACTGAACACTGATTTATGCGGACAAAATAATGAAAAGGCACAAATAACTAGATGAATAATTTTTGTAATCTCCTTTCGACGGAACAAGTCGTAAGATATAGCGTTAAATCTTAATTTGCTAGGGTTATTCAAATTCTCTGTTTTACAATTCGATTCCATATGCTCTTCTATCAGACAACCAAACCGTAGTGGTTTCTGTTTGGCGAATTCGACTCTTTCTGAAATGGACATTTTAAGGAAATCAGTGCATTAGTGCAGTGGATGTGGATTACCACAAGTAAGACATCCCTCTGGTTTTACAATACTTTGTAAGTATTTCATGGTAAACGGCTTCCCCTTACGAATCTGTCAGCTCCATTATTGGGGTGTAGGATGCTAGGGAGTTTAATGATTGTTTGGCTTACACCATCTTCCATGCGCCTTGAAATATCATCAGATTTAAGCTGAACATCCCACTTCGATAAGCAGGCGATGGTTTTGGCCCACTTTTCCCGCAACTGAGTTGGTAGACATCTGAAAATTCCTCAAAGGCAGAACTCGGATTCGAAGCGCCCATTCAGTTCAGAGACACAGAGGTACTTTTATAGGTCATCGAGTTATCCAAATATATGGCAATATCCTAATGGTCATCGCTTGACTGCTGACTATTACCTTTGAAAATGTCAAACGCGGACTTAGATATCAGGGATGACCTACTGAACCAATTGACTGAATATCCAATGAATGCTCACCTTCAGTGATACAAGCAGTTGATGAAAATTTGCACTGAGCCATTGAAAATGCTCTCGATGACGTAGCCATTTTATGAACCATTAAGAAGTACTGACTTGACATTGACGTTAAAAATTCAGGCATTGTTTCTTGTGCTAAGTGCCATGAATCTCCACGCGGTTTTCAATTTGACGAATACCTGTAATGATTTAACGAATTTGGCAGCATTTGATATCATCGCCTGTGCACTCTATGGTCGAAATGATACCAACTGGGAAAACGAAACAAGTGACTTCCTCCATACTCCCCCCCTTGACAGTGGATGGTGCTTATGGTTGTTAGTCGGGTGTCTTCGTCAGCTTTATCTTCTCTTTGTCCCGTCTTCTCTGCCTCTTCCGCCAACCTGTTGGTATAAACTCGCAGTTCTTTACTTTTGCGCGACATAAGACACAAGTCATCCTGGGAGCCCAGATCTCTCAGGGACCTCTTGTTGGTCCAACTTATGCCAACAATCTCACTCCCCGAGGCCAGTAGCCTCATTAAGTCCACCACAGTCAAGATAATCTGGGATATTAGATGGCCCTGTTCCATTCCTTTCCTCAGTTCAAAAACTTCACTTAGCATTCCTCCGTGAATTTTTCTGCATATGGAAGCATCATGCAGCTTCTGAACACGAATCATGATTATTTGCAGCATTGCGCTTCGCAGTGTTAACGTATTCGCCTAATTCCCTCACGTCCGACACTGTCGAAAGACTTCTCAAGGTTGACGAAGCTGGTGTGCACAGTTGACTACCACTTTAGATTCTACTCAATTATGTTACATATTGTTGCGACTTGATCCGCGTATGACCCATTCTTCCTGAACCTAGTATGTTCCAGAAGATGTCTTCCGTTCATGGCGTTTTCTACCCGTACCAGAATGATACACACTAATATTTAGTTTAGGGCGGACAGGAGTGTTATTTTGCACCAGTTCTTGCTCAGGCTCAATTTTCCATTCTTTGGCACTTCTGAAGCTCAAGATGTCTTCAAATTTGTTAATAAGGTGGAATAAAATCTGCCAAAATTAATGCCTTTACACGTATCTGTATTGCTGAAACTTTGACCATAAGAAAATCCGCAGCCACTTATAAAGAAGGTAACTCAGCCTGTCCTTCCGTGTTTTCGGTCCTTTGCCGTTAGGAATCATTCTATTTCTTCCGTTTAACGCGATAACTGCTGTAGTAAATGAAATCACCCAAGGTAATCTCATTGTTGAGTTAAATATCTTCTTTCCTCTACACTTTGAGAACACTTTTGTTATGCGTCAGTGATACAAGTGGCATTGACCGTAAAACATGCTGTCTGACAACATGTCGAATCATCGGGTTGGTTGATTCGGATCACAAGCGTACTCAACTAACTTGGGACCAAGTTCACATACAAGTGAACGATACATCACAAAGACAAATGCAGAGTATTTCATACTAAAACCAGTGTCATGTAATAAATGATATAGATAGTGAAGTCGAAACACTCGAAACTGAATGCATGTTTAGCAGGCACTATAGGTATTGGACGCTTTGTTTAGTCAGTAAACACCTAGAGAGCGCATTTCAATTTTCTTCGGCATGGTAGGTTGTAACTAAGCGGCTATATGTTTTAGACCAAAATCCGTGCATCTAAGTTGCGTGGAAAGCCTGAGTCTGAGCTCCAAAAGCAGTTGGGTGAGCTGAAGACGGAACTTGGAAACCTTCGTCTCTATCGTGTAACGCGTGGTACATCCTATCATGGGAAGCTGAAAAAGATGTAAGTTTTTCTAGGATTTATAGTAATGTTTTAGCCGGACTCTTCGCAAGTCGATTGCACGCGTTTATACTGTTATGCATCAGGCTCAAAAACTACGTCAAAGAGAAGCTTATCGTTCTAAAAGATACGTTCCTAAGGATTTACGACCGAAGAAGACCAGAGCAATTCGAAGAAGACTCACAAAAAAAGAGCAGTCTATACATTCAGCACGGTCAATGCGCAAGGCAAGAGCATTCCCACGTCGTGTCTTCGCGATTAAATGCTAAATAATAAAGGTTCTAATTGGCACTTCCTCATTGTTGGTCATGTGAGTATCGGGGGTTTCGGGTCGGCAACATAAGTATTTAAGGATTTCTACGGATGTTTTTATTTGGGTTCAAGAGTGTTTTTGTTCTGTCTGAACACATTCGGAAGCCAGTTTTTAATCACTTTTCGAAATGAACAAGTGCTCATCATTAGCTGTACGTCTCACCTCGCACATAGATTAATCGCAATTGGTGTCTTGTGCAAGGAATTATTTAACATAGGTACAGTGTGTCACGAAGTCTTCACGATTTCTTCATTCTCTTATGGTTGAAGTCTTGCAAGCATCATGGTATTTAATTGGCGTTGCTCACTGAAATGGCACTTCGAATTTTGTCTATGGGGAGGATGTCTTTAAAGCAGGAATAGCAGACTTCTGCGAACCCCACTTATTACATATACCAAGCATACTTATGTTAGGTGTTGCTTGCTCGTAGTGTTGTCATACATAGTATGAATGGTTGGTTAGAATGGGTAGGTTCACCAAGATGTCCTAGGTTATCGTATGCCGCCATCTTGATAGGTGAAGATCTGTGCGTCGGTGGCACAGTGGTTAGGACTCTCGCCGACCATGCACATGGTCCGGGGTTCGATCCCCTGCCGGCGCACACCCGATATCTATGGTCGGCCTGCAGAAATTTGGGCTGCCGATATCCATGCTGAAAATTCCATACTTGTACTGAAAATACTGTGTGGAATCAAGCTGTAAAAATCAAAAATCAAATCTGTTCAGTTTTATTTCGACTTCCCACTCTCAATGGCCTAATGTTACAAATCCAGAGTTTTCGTGTAGATCAGTTTTTTGAATATCAGTTGGTTGGATGTTGCTAATGACCCTGTCCTCCCTTAATATTCATACGTTTATTAAGCAAATCTAAGTTTCTGTTTCTGCTAATGTATTTCCAGGAAAAGGTACCTACTAATTCAAAGATCATGTTCGTCTGATCATTCTTTCATAAACACAGTGTTAAGCAACCTAAAATTGCCTTGGGAGTACTAAGGAATTGGCATAGTTTTTTCTTCTAGTATTTAGGATAACCGAGAAGTGGTATTACATGTATCGCACCGTCTTTGCCTCACCATCCCTAGCCCTTTCTATATAATTCGTCTTTTGTCAGCGTTGCTTGCCAGGGAAGAATGTTACACCTTGCATTCGCACCTAAACCAAGTTGTCATCAGTCCCCTTAGATGTCCTGTTGAAACATTCATCTATATTGAGAATGATAAACTGTTATATGTTTACTTATACTCAAAATTAGGATACAAGATACTTCGCTGCAGTGTTTCCGAATAATAACCCCTAATTAATGACCACTTTGTTAGAATGATAAGCTTAGACATTCTAAGTGAATTGTTTAGTATTTCTTTAGGTTTCTGCATCTAAGTGTGTGCAACTATCCCATATTGATTTTCCAATATTAAGAGTCATAACTGACTATCCGGACTATGTCACATGCAAAACCCTATGGTCGTGACAACAGTCAAGCTCAAACTCCAGCTGTTTGTCCCCTTAGCATCGTGCGTCGAAATGAAATCTCGTTGTTACTCCTTTTTCTGTACACTCATACATGTTGTGGAACTCCTAATATTATTTATTTACCCAAACCTTTCCAGGGGAAGCGTATTTGAGAATTATAACCCACTAGGTAAAAGTCAAAAAGCTGAATTATTAGAACGCTACCATAAACTTGACTGGCGTCGGTGTCACAGTGGTAGGATGCTCACCAACCACGCAGGTGGTCTGGGGTTCGATCCCCGGCCGATACACCTTTGTCTCTCCAAGCCACTAGTAAGACCGGCAAAGAGGGAAGGTTAGGCATGAGGTCAGCAACCCCACCCTGTGAAAATAATCACTGCCACCAGAACTTCCAGCCTCTAGCTCTAAACCATATGCTCCACTGGGTACCTATAGGAATGGAAAAACGACCACACAAATCAATTCACTAGTCACTGACATTCTTAATTTTATGGTGAAACTTAATCATGGGTACTATGTAACCGAATGCATTTAAAAACTTTATAAGAAACCAATCAGCGTAACTACCAGATTGTAATAGATAGTACATTTTGAGGATTTCTTACCTTACATAATCAAGTTCAATTCAAGAGTTGATAAACGTTTCGATTTGGTGTCATGATAGCCCGTAGCGTTGTCTGTGGTTATATCTTGGTTAGTGTTTTAGTTTCAAAGGAGTCATCTCCATTTTTTTTCAACTGATAAGATGTATATCGTACTCTAATTATATTACACCAACTGATATTGTTGAGAATCGGGACAGTGGTTAGGACTCTCGCCGACCATGCACATGGTCCGGGGTTCGAACCCCTACCGACGCACACCCGATATCTATGGTCGGCCTGCAAAATTTGGGCTACCGATATCCATGCTGAAAATTCCATACTTGTACTGAAAATACGGTGTGGCATCAAGCTGTAATCAAAATAAGTATAAGTTGTATGGCACAGGTTTGTGGTTATGCATCATTTTGAATTTTGAAATATCTGAAACATGGAGAGGCAATAGTTAAGCATTGCTTTTCTCCAAATCTAGTTCTACGATCTAGGAATTGTCAACTTTTCGATATCACTATTTGGATATCGTTTCCAATATTCTGGTACAACGAGTTTATCTCAACTAAATATTATAACGTACCTCTTAAGATGATGATAACTTTACTGGACGAAGTACCTGCACAAAACAATCAAAACGAACTGTTAAACTCTGAATTTTTGAGCTTCATACACTTATTCAAACGGTTCTAATAATATCATATTACGTGAGATGGAAAAAGATTAGAATAATAGGGATGAACTGTTACAAAGAAGACTGAAGACGAATAAAGCAACATGAACTAGCATGACTCTTATTATGCACATAAAGAAGTATAATCTGTTTTCACTGGCTTCTACTATCTGTTTTTCAAATGTCTTAGTTAGTTTATTCCATATAACTCAGAGTAGTCATTAACAGAATATGGCCTGGTCTTGTGACTGCAAGCTGACGATCGTTACAAACTTTCATAGTCTATTCAGTTTATTGGACTAAGCGGTATCAAATTTTGCATAACAAATTCCCCAGGCACTTATATGAATAAAACTTCGCAACGTCACAAAGTGATTTACTTTCACTGTCAGATGAGTGGTGCTACTTCCCATAAACAGTGTTTTGAAAGAATTACTAACCAAATTACTTATAGCTTACTAAGCCTTCTCCTCTCTACTTAGTGGAAGTTGAACTAATTGCCCATTATTCTGGTTGGTCGTCTTTTAGTGTATCTGAAGTGCTTACTTGTTATGCATACCTGAATACCATGATAGAGTAAATTTATTTAATGGAGATCTACTCTTCTGCAGTGTTCGAGTTATGTTCTTATATCAATGAGACGCATACCTAAACTTGTACGATAATTCGTTCAATAGTTTTCATGAAGTCGAATTTCAAAGTTGTAGTATTTTTGAAGAGCTCAGTCAAATTAAAATAATTCGATATTTTAGGGGACCGCATACAAGGAAAGACCTGTGTTTAGTATGAACATGGTACTAATGCCTTTACTATAGGAGTTTGTGTTGGTTATTCGTATCGCATTATCTCCAAGGGTACCGTTTCTTAGACAGCTGTGATGTGGAACCAACGGTTAGTTCCATGGTAGAATGTTCGCTAACCATATATACGTGGTCCATGTTTTATTCCGGGCCAATGTATTCTTTAACCTCGCTTAGTTTACCAGCCGGTAATAATCTCGGAAAAGAGGGAAGATTGTGTGCTAGATTATCAATCCCACCTCATAGAAATAACACTGCTATTAGAACTTTAGACGTAAGAGTTTTATGTTTCAATGGGAAATCAAAGGATTGAAAAAAGGCTTAAAGCAATTTGTATTCAAGCTATGGTTAGTAAACAATGAAGGTGAACTGGTGTGGAAAAACATATATTGTTTCAATTGATTAAAAATGCCCATTAAAATTTTCAAAAGAATAGACACGGAACAAAGAGAACTCTTTTCGATAAATTCATCATCAGGTTCTACAATTATATATACATTATAATGAATGAATGGTGCGTCGGTGGCATAGCGGTTAGGACGCTCACCGACCATGCACATGGTCCGGGGTTCGATCTCCGGCTGACGCACTCCTTTACCTCGCTAAGCTAGAAATAATGCTGGTAAAGAGGAAAGGTTGGGCATGAGGCTAGCAACCCCATCCTGTAAAATAAACACTGCTACAGAAACTTCAAGCCACTAGCTTGAAGCCCTATGTTCCACTGGGAACGTGAAGGAAAAAAAATAATGAATGAATGAATTAGTCTTATGAACGACATTAATGTTTAAATAACATCAAATCAATAATATTGATAAATTACAGCTGAACAGCATCAACATAAAATAAACTGAATGTCAGAAGAATTAGGAAAGGTAATGGTACAAATTGTTTCGCAGTTGTGTGTGTATCTGCGAAGGGCGAATCAATATGTATAGGTAACGAATTGCATTCTAGGAAGAAACAACTGCTCAGTGCACATCAACTTCCAATAATTCTCCACCTAGCGTTGATGCATGTTGAGAATTAACTTGAGGATATAAATTTCGGACAGTAGATGTTGTGAATACCATAAGGTAGGTTGATTTCTGAGTCCGATTGAATCATCTTATAATTACGTGAAATCAACCCCAACGTGTTTAGAATTAATGCAAATTAATAATCCCCACTGTAACACTAATAATAATATTAAGTGAAGTAACTCTTTCAAAGGATATATTATCAAAATGTACATTCGTATTTTTATAATATTTTTGAAAACTATATCCCATGAAGAAATTTCATGACGTTAATTACGACAAAAGTACTCGTAGCTGTGATAAAAGACATTTTGTGTGATAATAAAGTATACTGTGCAATATATAAGAAAGTATATATTTCCAAATGTTCCCTTGCAGGAATTCAGGCGGTTCAAGTTACATTA